CGTGAATAATAACAGTAATCTAAATTAACAGATATAACCCTCTATCGTTTTAAATATTAATAAAAAGATAACAACATTTTATTGCGCAATTCATCTGTCGGCTAGTGCATATGTAGGTAGAGACATATTACCATGATTTATTAGAGTGTTATCCGTCGGCGCCGAATGTCTGTCGTTACAGCGGGATGTGACACCCGATGACATCGCCTACAACACGAGTCTATTTAACTCTGTCGTACTTGCCGTCAAAGGTCCCGGTGTCTGGGTAGTTGGTAAATTACCCATATGTCACGGACACGAAACATGGGGAGTAAAATAGACATAATTCGCTGTCATTTTAAATTTACTGCATTTACATCAAATTAGCGTACCTCATCAGTGTAGATATTAAATACAACTTGATAAACCCAGTACCACTGGGACCGATTACATAGTCTGATTTGGACTCATTACTGTACTTGTAGACTCGGAGTCGTTACTTGGAGTCATTACTTGTAGACTTGGCGTGATTACTTGTAGACTTGCAGTCGTTACTTGTAGTTGCGTCAACAGAAGACTTCGACATTGACGAGTCAGAATTTCCTGAATATATCGACAGCCACATAATAGAAATACAATTAATCATTAAAATTGAACAAGAGTTATTGTAAATCAAATAAAAATACTTCTTACATTTTAGCACAATATGTACTATAGTCTTGGAAAAATAAGGACACTGTTTCCTGAGCGATGGGAAACTCAAGAAAATTAAAGTAATATTTTGATTGCATGTTGTTTTATCACGTATGTATTCATTCACTTGTATTCAGAGCCGACAATTGTACGTAGCTACAAGTATACGTGTATTTCGACAAGTCTGAATGTGGGAGATATTCCTAATCTATACATGTAAATATGTATGTGAGGTGTTCCTGGTCTATACAGGTGAGTATGCATGCGTGGTGTTCCTGATCTATACAGGTGAGTATGTATGCGAGGTGTTCCTGATCTATACAGGTGAGTATGTATGCGAGGTGTTCCTGATCTATACAGGTGATATGTATGCGAGGTGTTCCTGATCTATACAGGTGAGTATGTATGCGAGGTGTTCCTAGTCTATACAGGTGAGTATGTATGCGAGGTGTTCCTGATCTATACAGGTGAGTATGTATGCGAGGTGTTCCTAGTCTATACAGATATGTATGCGAGGTGTTCCTGATCTATACAGGTGAGTATGTATGCGAGGTGTTCCTAGTCTATACAGGTGAGTATGTATGCGAGGTGTTCCTGATCTATACAGGTGAGTATGTATGCGAGGTGTTCCTAGTCTATACAGGTGAGTATGTATGCGAGGTGTTCCTGATCTATACAGGTGAGTATGTATGCGAGGTGTTCCTGATCTATACAGGTGAGTATGTATGCGAGGTGTTCCTGATCTATACAGGTGAGTATGTACAGGTGTTCCTCATGAGTATGTATGCGAGGTGTTCCTGATCTATACAGGTGAGTATGTATGCGAGGTGTTCCTGATCTATACAGGTATGTATGCGAGGTGTTCCTGATCTATACAGGTGAGTATGTATGCGAGGTGTTCCTACAGGTATATAGGGTGTTCCTAGTATGTATGCGAGGTGTTCCTTGTCTATATCTATACAGGTGAGTATGTATGTATGCTATACAGAGGTGTTCCTAGTTCTATACAGGTGAGTATGTATGCGAGGTGTTCCTGGTCCTATACAGATCTATCTATACAGATGAGTATGTATGCGAGGTGTTCCTGATCTATACAGGTAAGTATGTATGCGAGGTGTTCCTTGTCTATACAGGTGAGTATGTATGCGAGGTGTTCCTAGATCTATACAGGTGAGTATGTATGCGAGGTGTTCCTGATCTATACAGATGAGTATGTATGCGAGGTGTTCCTGGTCTATACAGGTGAGTATGTATGCAAGGTGTTCCTAGTCTATACAGGTGAGTATGTATGCGAGGTGTTCCTAGTCTATACAGGTAAGTATGTATGCGAGGTGTTCCTAGTCTATACAGGTATGTATGCGAGGTGTTCCTAGTCTATACAGGTATGTGTATGAGGTGTTCTTAGTCTATACAGGTGAGTATGTATGCGAGGTGTTCCTGATCTATACAGGTGAGTATGTATGCGAGGTGTTCCTGATCTATACAGGTGAGTATGTATGCGAGGTGTTCCTGATCTATACAGATGAGTATGTATGCGAGGTGTTCCTGATCTATACAGATGAGTATGTAAGCGAGGTGTTCCTGATCTATACAGGTGTATGTATGTTCCTGATCTATACAGAGGTGTTCCTGATCTATACAGGTGAGTATGTATGTGAGGTGTTCCTGATCTATACAGGTGAGTATGTATGCGAGGTGTTCCTGATCTATACAGGTGAGTATGTATGCGAGGTGTTCCTGATCTATACAGGTGAGTATGTATGCGAGGTGTTCCTGATCTATACAGGTGAGTATGTATGCGAGGTGTTCCTGATCTACACAGGTGAGTATGTATGCGAGGTGTTCCTCATCTATACAGATGAGTATGTATGCGAGGTGTTCCTCATCTATACAGATGAGTATGTATGCGAGGTGTTCCTGATCTATACAGATGAGTATGTATGCGAGGTGTTCCTCATCTATACAGATGAGTATGTATGTGAGGTGTTCCTGGTCTATACAGGTGAGTATGTATGTGAGGTGTTCCTGGTCTATACAGGTGAGTATGTAAGCGAGGTGTTCCTAGTGTATACAGATGAGTATGTAAGCGAGGTGTTCCTGATCTATACAGATGAGTATGTAAGCGAGGTGTTCCTGATCTATACAGGTGAGTATGTATGCGAGGTGTTCCTAGTCTATGCAGGTATGTATGCGAGGTGTTCCTAGTTTATACAGGTGAGTATGTGTGCGCGGTGTTCCTAGTCTATAGTATGGGTGTGATTTAAATTTGATCCATTATTTTATAAACTGGAATACATAAACTTGGAAAGTTTTACAAAGTTTTGCTTGTTGTGTATGACAAGCATAAGAAGCACGTTCAGACAGATGGTCTGATTGTATCGTTCGCCTTTTGCAAATACATGTACACAGAAGTCGTGGGAATATCACAGAGCAATAGAATGTTTCCCGTCGCTGCAGACTGATGCAGCACGATGCACTCAGCTGACAAACAGTAGTTTCTGTATGTCTGTTGTTTTTCAACAAAACGTCTGTGGACATTTTTCCTGAAAGTCATTACTCTCAATGAACCACTGTGAATTTAATGAGCTATTACTATACCATTTTGAATCGGTACTATTCAGTGCGGACTCTCCATTCAATATATCTATAAAGGGAAAGGAAAATATGTATTGTACATACAAATTCACTTGAGGCCGGGTACAGAAACAAATTAAATATGAAATAGACATTACAACTTATAAACATTCACAAGATGTAGATGATAACGATCTACCTGTTTAGTCATTTAGTGGAAGAGTTTATGTTGGCGCACTTCAAGATTGGCATGCATGGCTAGAAAGATCATCACATGAATTTTATAAGTTTCATAAATTTAGTTGTGAACAGTATCTGTTGGGTATGTTTTGTTTTTTTGGGTTTTCTGTTTTAGTCTAAACGAAAGCAAAACAAATTTAGAAGTGGTTACCCTTGGCATCCAGTTATCCAGATACAGTAAGCTGTGATTATCAAACTGTGCAAACATTTTGAATGCAACTGAAGACAAACTACGTGTTTCTACCACTGTGTATTCAATGATAGTTAGTGGAAATATTTAATTCCCCAAACTGTAAACTAGTATACATCACAAAGGATATATAAGTCAACAGATATAGCCGTGTGTCTGTCTGTTACTGATGATGTTTAACAGTGAGGATATTAACACAGGGAGCACTGGCGCCGTGGTTCAACCTACACAGTGAGGATATTTTGCTGCACCATGCTGTGAGCGGGCTATACAACCACCACAATCAGGGAAAGGATTTTTTAGGCTTTTTACAGCAGTGTCATTTTCAACACAGGTCATATTTAGCATGGGTACGGTATATTTTCAACATTGGTAACATTAAGCATTGAAATGGTACATGTTGAACACAGGTAATATTTAGTACGGATACGGTATAATTTCAACATTGCTAACATTCAGTATATAATTGGTATATTTTCAACACGGGTAATATTTGGTATGGAAATGGTACATGTTGAACACAGGTAATATTTAGTACGGATACGGTATAATTTCAACATTGCTAACATTAAGTATATAACTGGAATATTTTAAACACGGGTAATATTTGGTATGGACATGGTATATTTTGAACACAGGTAATATCTAGTATTGAAATGGTATATTTTTAACACAGGTAATATCTAGTATGGAAATGGTATATTTTCAACATAGATAATACTGAGTGTGAAAGTGGTATATTTTCATTTTGTGATAATGAACTAGCAACCTGGCAGTTTTCAAACTGCATCATTGTTATGAAATATTGGATACAGATACACAAATTAGTATATCTGTACTGGATATTGTGTCTTATACAGTGATGCTTATTTATATACAAGGCGGGAGAGTATACTCGTCGTTAGGTGAGCATCCTAAACCGAGACACACTTTCCCAGCTATCATATTGACCCTGCTTTCCTTTCTGTCGGCCATATCAAAATTCAAATCAGAAGTAAGTATCCCGACTTCAATAAAGTGATAAATCAAGCACCTTACAGGCGACTGTGGTTCCGCCCCTCACTCTCCAGTCAGTAAAGTCAACACGAGATTAGTTAAGTGCAGTTTAATACTACTTTAACTGTACGATCTAATCCATTACATGGGTATGATAAGTCCTCGGCCAAATCTACGGACTCTCCAACAGATTAACACGTCCAACATATATTCACGGCTCACTTTAATACTGGAAATATAATTAATGTTCAGAGGTAACCTGCTTTCTCAATATATTGTCGTTAACGATATTTCCCGAGAATGTTTTTTTTGTAAACTATTGCACGAAACATATGTTACAAATGAATGTTTTAAAGAGATAAAATTAAACACAACTACAGATGCAGTGGTGTAATTCTCCTCACTGAAACGTGATCAATTACCCAAACGATTTCTTTATTGCAAATGATGTGGAGCTCATTGGAAACCCAACAGCGACATGATCTGTGCACTGGTTTGATGGAGATGGTATAGGGGTGGACTTGGCTGTACCAGGAAGTTGTCAGATTCTAACTGTCACAATGTTTGTTAGTCCTTTTGTGTACCAACAATACTGCTGGTTCAAGCATGTGGACATATTTTTTGTAAAGTCCGATGCAAATCGTGTGTTGAACTTTGACAACAACTGTCACTCAGGTTTAACATCTGCATTGTGTTGATGGTAAAATGTACACAACATATTAACACATGTTAATCTGATAGCGAATCACTCAGTACCGCATCATCATCTGGAAACTCGGTAGTCAGCTGGTCACTGTCGTGAGGTTTTGAATGTTGGTAACAAAAATACAAAGAGTACCACAGTGATGTAACACTCATCCTATACACGCTGTGTCCTGCAATACAGACAGGTAGAGGTGTTTTAACGCGAAGGTAATTTATTTATACCTGTCGTGCTGCTATATGATAAATATGTTGAGCCTGACGGGTGCAACGCCTCTTGTTGTCGACATGAATTATGACACCCCGTTAACTCGTAAAATGGAAGTTTTTTTGCATTTTGACAGAGAAAACCTATTCATCATGCAGAATGATCTTGATGGGCGGTCTTTCAGGTACATCAATCTTTTAATATACGTGTCAGATTTATTTATTTGAAACCATTATACCGACCACTGCAACCTCGATCATCGTTACGGAATGAAGAGGTTTGTATCAAGACTCTTCACCCCAGAAGAAATGATTGGCACACGCTTAATCAAAGGGAAGTAACCCTACAGGAATTAATTTGACGCAGCATTTGAAGCCATAGCTCCTCCAACTGTTTCAATCCCTCATTGAGATTGATTTTTATTGCATTTACATAATATGATTTGGAACAGATTGGGACATTATACAATAAACTAGCGATTTCACGTTGTCATTCAATAAACATTGTTTCTACAATGCCACGGTGTTTGTGGTCTGAGCCCCGTTTCACTGTGTACCCGTGTATTAGCGGGCCCTGGTTCACCCTCTTGTATCGTGTTCAAGCATATATTCCCATGGAAAGGCTACAAGAGTCAAGTACCCTACTCCAAATCTGCCCTATCTTATCTGTTGTTATGTGCTTGTAACAGATCACTTAATATTATCATGCATCAAGTGGGATAAGTCGACTTATGCTTAGTTCATTGTAGAGGCTGCTTTGAGTGCGATCTGGCATTTAACACCGATCCTAGAGATTCAAGTCACTAACCGAGTTACGGTCGAGAACTCACAATATCATTCTGAATACGTTCGTAAAAAGTGCGTTTCCTTGATTCCAAGTGTAAATCTGACTTACTGGCCACAGCAGAAAAGACGAATATTGCTACATAACAACCTTCACTCACAAAGTGTATTGAAGGAAGGAACTCACCACAGAGCCTACTGAAACTAGACAACCATGACATACTCCAGAGAAGGAGACAACATTTAATAGTTAGTTGGATGTCTCAGTTCAAAAACCAGGCATATCACACTGGATATCGGAGTTGCCGACCACATGGGCATAAGCCAGGTGACATGTGGATTGTTGATGTCTACATCACACACAGATTCTGTTGTCTAGCGAATTAGAGCCAGTCCTCACACTTGAGTTTAGACATCACACATAGGTTCCGAGTTAGAGCCAAGCTCCACACTTGAGTTTCGATGACAGGTAGACATCACAGAGATATACAAGAGACAGGGAGTCCAGGCACTGGATTTCAGCCTTACAACCCAGCTGCAGTAGGTGTTGAACCTAAGAGGGAAGAGATCAGAGCAACGCTACAAATTATGACAGCTACTACTGCTTCAGATGATGATGATGATGATGATGAGCAATGTTCAAGCAGCATGGGACGGGGCACACCTAAAACAGTCTTCACATATTGTACCGGTCCTTCAGGATAACCAGCTAATACTTAACCACTAGGCTGGCTATGATGATGACCACAATGATTGTTGCAATATGAAAGTGACAACACTTTATTACCTCAGAGGAATTCTGTATCCATAAGAAAGTCCTTCATGTTACCGACTATGTGTACATACACCAGCCATAAAGTGGCAGAGCTGTAAAACTGTACAGAATGTCACTGTCAATTTGAGAAGAGGGTGCTTGTTGTCATAAAAGCATTAAGAGCTCTGCTATAAAACCTGGCATGAGCTATCCGAAAGGAGTGCTTGTTCAGCAGAACAAAATTCAGTAATAAGTTCTCAAGTATATATTTCATTTATAAGAACACAATGGGTTATAATTAATCAATCTTATAACATGCAACACGACACATTCTGGGTGTCCTTCAGGAACTAACTCATATCCCAACTAACCAATAAGGTGCCATTTAAAGTGATCTGTTGGTAACAACGCACGAAGTTGTGGCCAACACAAAATGTACCACGCCAAGGACTTCATGGCCCAGAGACATATATTTTACGAGCGTTTCAATAGGCAACTTATCTGGGTAAATATGTTCGAACTTAAAACCAAGCGAAGAGATACGTGCCTGTGTGGCGATGGGTGGATTTGCCAGCACATACGGTCTTCCTATCAGCTCCGACGCTTTGTCCATGTCCTTCTTGGTGAAGGGTATAAACACCGACTCGTGGATATTAAGCCTGCTTTAGAGAGCACATAATTGTCTGCTTTTACAAACAATGGAGTCTGGTTCATCATCATCATGTAACGAAACCAGTGAGCAAGATATCAAATCCTTATGCATCTATGTAACAAAATAGCTGTGCTGCCGTCTCAGTAATAAAACTAGTTTTTGTTTTCTAACTTTTGTTGATTAACTTGAAATTATTAAAAAAATAATGCTGTTCGAATGTATAGAAAAAGAATTAAAGCCTGTGATAAAGAATTAAAAAAAGAACCGGCAATTGTTTGTTTGTATTTCCTTAATCGTAAATGCTGTTTTATTGAGAAAGGGCCAGTCGTTAACTATACCCAGTAAGGTTTGAGGGTGGCGTATATGAAACAAAGAAGGAATGGTCATTGGCTAATGATGTGCTTCATGTGATCATCAAAGGCGATATCCCACCTTACGTCTACTGTCTTTCAGCGATTACTTTCAGCCTTGTCCACTTTTGTTAGTGTTTGTAATTGTTTGCTCAAACACAGTTTTCATTACATTCCACGCAGTTTGTATGACACAACTGAATGGAAGAGTTTCCGGGCTGTTTGAGCTGTGTGGCCGACATGACCAGTTTTTCAGTTTCATTAGGCCTGTAAGCTGGTGATGGGATGAGGTCGCTGGCCCCGAACGTTCACCATTACCATGAAACCCAGGAGAATGGGCTGCTGATAAACCTACACACATTATCAAGGGGAAGATTCACACGGTCAATGGGGACAAAACTTCCCTGTGAGTTTTGTCCAAGGCAAACCCTAGTCTATTACGAGCAACTGTAGCAACTATTTTAGTATATTACGAACAACTGTAGCAACTATTTTGTCTTCTAAATCCTCCATACCCGTCCAGGTCCGTTGGTAGAATCCCGAGCCACTTCATGTTTGGTACAACCAGGAATCTGTTTTCTGCCGCTTGTGCCTGCAAGTACATCATGGGTCATACTTCTATATCGTTGTGCAAGTATATCATGGGTCATACTTCTATATCGTTGTGCAAGTACATCATGGGCCATACTTCTATATGATTGTGTAAGTACATCATGGGCCATACTTCTATATCGTTGTGCAAGTACATCATGGGCCATATTTATATGATTGTGCAAGTACATCATGGGCCATATTTCTATATCGTTGTGCAAGTACATCATGGGCCATACTTCTATATGATTGCGTAAGTACAGTATGGGCCATACTTCTATATCGTTGTGCAAGTACATCATGGGCCATACTTCTATATGATTGTGTAAGTACAGTATGGGCCATACTTCTATATCGTTGTGATAGTATATCATGGGTCATACTTCTATATGATTGTGCAAGTACATCATGGGCCATACTTCTATATCGTTGTGTACGTATATTCTGGACCATACTTCTATATGATTATGTAAGTATATTATGGACCATACTTCTATATGATTATGTAAGTATATTCTGGACCATACTTCTATATGATTATGTAAGTATATTCTGGACCATACTTCTATATGATTATGTAAGTATATTCTGGACCATACCTCTATATGATTATGTAAGTATATTCTGGACCATACTTCTATATGATTATGTAAGTATATTCTGGACCATACTTCTATATGATTATGTAAGTATATTCTGGACCATACTTCTATATGATTATGTAAGTATATTATGGACCATACTTCTATATGATTATGTAAGTATATTCTGGACCATACTTCTATATGATTGTGTAAGTATATTCTGGACCATACTTCTATATGATTATGTAAGTATATTCTGGACCATACTTCTATATGATTATGTAAGTATATTATGGACCATACTTCTATATGATTATGTAAGTATATTCTGGACCATACTTCTATATGATTATGTAAGTATATTCTGGACCATACTTCTATATGATTATGTAAGTATATTCTGGACCATACTTCTATATGATTATGTAAGTATATTCTGGACCATACTTCTCTATATGATTATGTAAGTATTTCTGGACCATACTATATGATTGTGTAAGTATATTCTGTATATGATTATGTATATTCTGATTCTGGACTATACTTCTATATGATTATGTAAGTATATTCTGGACCATACTTCTATATGATTATGTAAGTATATTCTGGACCATACTTCTATATGATTATGTAAGTATATTCTGGACCATACTTCTATATGATTATGTCTATATGATTATGTATTATTCTGGACCATACTTCTATATGATTATGTAAGTATATTCTGGACCATACTTCTATATGATTATGTAAGTATATTCTGGACCATACTTCTATATGATTATGTAAGTATATTCTGGACCATACTTCTATATGATTATGTAAGTATATTCTGGACCATACTTCTATATGATTATGGACCACCATACTTCTATATGATTATGTAAGTATATTCTGGACCATACTTCTATATGATTGATGTAAGTATATTCTGGACCATACTTCTATATGATTATGTAAGTATATTCTGGACCATACTTCTATGATTGTGTATCTGGACCATACTTCTATATGATTATGTAATTCTGCATATTCTGGATTATGTAAGTATATATTCTATATGATTGTGTAAGCATACTTCTATATGATTATGTAAGTATATTCTGGACCATACTTCTATATGATTATGTAAGTATATTCTGGACCATACTTCTATATGATTGTGTAAGTATATTCTGGACCATACTTCTATATGATTGATGTATATTCTGGACCATACTTCTATATGATTATTCTGGACCATACTTCTATATGATTATGTAAGTATATTCTGGACCATACTTCTGATTATGTAAGTATATTCTGACCATACTTCTAGATGGACCATACTTCTATATGATTATGTATGGACCATACTTCTATATGTATATTCTGGACCATACTTCTATATGATTATGTAAGTATATTCTGGACCATACTTCTATATGATTATGTAAGTATATTCTGGACCATACTTCTATATGATTGTGTATATTATGGACCATACCTCTATATGATTGAGTAATGGACCATACTTCTATATGATTATGTAAGTATATTCTGGACCATACTATATGATTATGTAAGTATATTCTGGACCATACTTCTATATGATTGTGTAAGTATATTCTGGACCATACTTCTATATGATTATGTAAGTATATTCTGGACCATACTTCTATATGATTATTAAGTATATTCTGGACCATACTTCTATATGATTATGTATTATATTCTGGACCATACTTCTATATGATTATGTAAGTATATTCTGGACCATACTTCTATATGATTATGTAAGTATATTCTGGACCATACTTCTATATATTATGATTATGTAAGTATATTCTGGACCATACTTCTATATGATTGTGTAAGTATATTCTGGACCATACTTCTATATGATTGTATGTATATTAACCATACTTCTATATGTATATATTCTGGACCATACTTCTATATGATTATGTAAGTATATTATGGACCATACTTCTATATGATTGTGTAAGTATATTCTGGACCATACTTCTATATGATTATGTAAGTATATTCTGGACCATACTTCTATATGATTATGTAAGTATATTCTGGACCATACTTCTATATGATTATGTAAGTATATTCTGGACCATACTTCTATATGATTGTGTAAGTATATTCTGGACCATACTTCTATATGATTATGTAAGTATATTCTGGACCATACTTCTATATGATTATGTAAGTATATTCTGGACCATACTTCTATATGATTATGTAAGTATATTCTGGACCATACTTCTGGACCATACTTCTATATGATTATGTAAGTATATTCTGGACCATACTTCTATATGATTATGTAAGTATATTCTGTAAGTATATTCTGGACCATACTTCTATATGATTGTGTAAGTATATTCTGGACCATACGTCTATATGACCATACTTCTATATGATTATGATTATGTAAGTATATTCTGGACCATACTTCTATATGATTATGTAAGTATATTATGGACCATACTTCTATATGATTGACCATACTTCTATATGATTATGTAAGTATATTATGGACCATACTTCTATGATTGTGTAAGTATATTCTGGACCATACTTCTATATGATTATGTATATATTCTGGACCATACTTCTATATGATTATGTAAGTATATTCTGGACCATACTTCTATATATGACCATACTTTGATGTAAGTATATTACTTCTATGGACCATACTTCTATATGATTATGTAAGTATATTATGGACCATACTTCTATATGATTGTGTAAGTATATTCTGGACCATACTTCTATATGATTATGTAAGTATATTCTGGACCATACTTCTATATGATTATGTAAGTATATTCTGGACCATACTTCTATATGATTATGTAAGTATATTCTGGACCATACTTCTATATGATTATGTAAGTATATTCTGGACCATACTTCTATATGATTATGTAAGTATATTCTGGACCATACTTCTATATGATTATGTAAGTATATTCTGGACCATACTTCTATATGATTGTGTAAGTATATTCTGGACCATACTTCTATATGATTATGTAAGTATATTCTGGACCATACTTCTATATGATTGTGTAAGTATATTCTGGACCATACTTCTATATGATTATGTACGTATATTATGGACCATACTTCTATATGATTGTGTAAGTATATTCTGGACCATACTTCTATATGATTATGTTCTGGACCATACTTATATTATGGACCATACTTCTATATGATTATGTACGTATATTATGGACCATACTTCTATATGATTATGTAAGTATATTATGGACCATACTTCTATATGATTGTGTAAGTATATTCTGGACCATACTTCTTTATGATTGTGTAAGTATATTCTGGACCTGTAATATAGGGTTAGAGCCTGTAATGACAGCCAATAGATAATCAAGTCTGGACCAGACAAACCAGTGGTTGATATTATGAGTGAAGTTCACACAGTCGGGGTACGGTGACAGACAGCGAATAAAGGCACCCAGTCTGACTATGTAACAAGCGTAGACCATCATACAACATGCATCAGGGCGGGAGATAATTTCTACCCATATACCCCATGGCTTCAAACATTATGACATTATGGAACACCCTCTAGACTGGTTGCACAGTGTAACATATGTTATATTTGGGATTACACGTAACGTTGGCTGAGTGGGTTAGGCGGCTGACTTTGTGTGCTGGTGATTAGGTGCCTGACTCTGGGGGTAGGGGTTCGAATCCCGGATGGGACTCAACCCAACAAAAGTACTAGAATCGGTGCTTTACTAAGAAAGAGTGATCCCAAATATAACAAATGTTACATTGGACCACTTTCTAAATGGCATTGTGTAATCATGGTTTCACAGTGCTGGGTTTTACTTCAAGTACATATGTACTGATAACTTACCTTTGATCCGAATTTGTAGACACACATGATCTCTATACCTGAAATGTGAGGGGAAGAGCACAACTGCCACATATCATATGATACACGAAGAGGCTAGGAGACATCATGGCAATAGCAGGACATTAATATACTCCTAACCACTGCATACATAATAGGATTTCGTCAAATACTTTACGTGTGGCCCTAATATATCCGTTTATCATGGTTTTTTCAGTGAGACATCATTATATGTTTTTCAAGTACTAAATATCGGGAAACATCGAATCGTTACTACATTATTGCATATTATTTTATACACACAGAAATACTGCCATAACATCATGTGTTATTACAGGTTATACCGTGAGGGTCTGCATCGACCAGAATAAACATGGGGAGCTGGAACCTGTCCCACAGAGCCCTCAACAGAAGCCTGGTCCCCAGGTCCGGGAAGCCTTTACCCTGGATCACATGCAATAATATACCACAGTTAGTGAGCATGAAAATCAAGAAGTACAAATTGTACCAAGGCATTTTGGGTAACAACTGAACACTTTTGCTTCCGACTTTGTCCTAGTAGAAATATTCAAAGATCAAGTCATTCCTGACGAACTTGTGTAATTCTGGCACATGCTGATGGAGACTGTGCCCTCTCAAAGGTTTTCATACTGGCCTGTGAACATCAGAAGTACTTCAAACAAGAAAGATAACTCTATTTATGTTTATTCCCAATAGTAATATACATAATAGAAGTGTTTGTTTGTTGGTTTTAAAAGAAATATACGACTTTCATATACTACTACTACTACGACAGCGACGACGACGACTACAACTACTAGTACTACTAGATTCGTTGTTCATCAATTTTGTCTTTACATAAGAACTGCTTTTATTACTTTACAAAAGAAATAATATAACTTTTGATGATCATTGAATTTGCCTTCATACACTGTATATGTAGCTTACGTAGTTTCTAAAATAGATTGATACATTAAGGTAACCATAACCAGATAGTTCAAAAGTGGGGCAAGTTTATATCTGTTTCGATGAATCAAAGCAGGTATGGATACACAATGACCCTCAATAGTAACTATGGATTATTTTCATTTTATATTCTATTCATTGATATCTTAAAACGCTAGATTTTTAAACAGGCAATTCCAGGTAGTGGCGTTTCATATAATTACTTTTTAAAATATCTTCAACTGAAGATGGAGAGTCATGTAAATGATGTCGTATACAGTGTCTGTGTCCAGTTGCCTGAACATGCATATACCCTTGATGCCATACCCCTGATGGAATTTTAAAATGACCGGGATGGTTATAAAATGAGAAATGTCTGACACACATATCCCCAATAAAGTGAAATCAAGCACAACATTTCAGATTAAAGTTCATTAGTTATATATGAATATATATTGTTAGGAACCCTGTAGCTATTGTAATTTCCTAAAATATTTCCGCCTCTTAGTTCATAGCAAATTTAATATGTAACTTGAAAGTCAAATATCATGTTAACAGACTTTTTCCAGTGAAAGTATAAATAATATAGTGAGTATAAATAAAAAAACAAAAAAATGAACTATTCAAGTTGTTGGTTGTCCCTAAAAAAGGGGGTAACTCATCGTGGCAGTGTCTACGGTAACGGTTGTCTAATCCGGACTGCTTTATAATCCGGACAAAGGAATCAGTCCCCGGCCAGTCGGTTATAGCAGGGAGACTATAAGACGTTGTAGATTATCCCTGGTTATAGACAGATTCCACTGTAGTTCGTCTGAGAACATTACTCCATGGAAATCCAGGGAGCCGTTATGACAAACCGACCTGTGTGGATGTGAAAGCTCACCGCCACGGCCCATTCTCTATTAACAACTTCAATTCATGCAAAACAAATATGTTGGCTATGTACTTTGTAATATTCTTTCACGATTTTGAAAGATCATGTACTGCCATAACCATATAAGTACTCGGCATTATTCTTACGAGCATTTTGATTGGTCTGTCGTTCTTGCGTACATCCCCTTCATGGACAGGGAGACGAGTCGTCTGTCTCACAGTCCGTGACACCTTACCCTTCCACCCAGCTCACCTATAAGGTCACCAAATGAGGCCTTTCATCACACACTAGGTACATCCATGCCATATACCCTGGTGGAACGTTTCTACTCACGGTAACCATGATGCACGGCCGGAACTTGTGACAAAACTGGTCCCCTAGCAGCCTCTGGAACGTCGCATCCTTCTCCACAATGAGGACAAACCTAGCACCCGTTGTCATGTCTCCTGGGTCAAGGTTCAAACATTGGTAGACCTGTACTCAAGGCTGAATGAGTGAGTTGGGTTTTACACAGCTTTTAGCAATATTCCAGCAATATCACGAAATGGACTTCACACATTGTACCCATGTCGGGAATCGGACCTGGACCTTCTGCCTGACGAGCTAACGAATTAACCACTGGGCTACCCCACTGCTCCTTGTGCTCAGGGAGTTCAAAAGCACAAAAAGAACGTCTTAACCTAAACACTGGTTTTCTAATACCAGAATATTTCTAAGTCGAACGTCCACAATGCATTAGTGAAAAACGTTATTATTATATTTGAATGGTTTCTCTTTCACACACAACATAGGCTTGAACTTATAATGTTCAAGGTACAGGTTAGTTTCTAACAATCTTGCCAGTGACGACTGATATGAGGTAAAATATACGTCACCTAACCTTCTGCATAAAGGATACTCTGCATGTCCTTCATATGAGCTGGAACTGGGACTCCCTGAAAGGACGTGGAAAGCCATATATGTGACATAATGTAATGTTCTCATTTCTTCACAAGACATTTTAAATTTGCCTTAACACTCCGTTCTTTATAATCAGAATTCGTTACAGCCTACTTCTACACATTATAGGCACCAGTGAGAAACTAAGTGGCCGTCACTGTCTGACACCTGTGGTCAATGTGTGGCTACAACAGGCTAGATGTCAGCTGTTGGATTGAGGACACGAGTACTTACTGTCTGGGAGACGCTACAGTCAACGAAGTGTCCCTGGTCGCTGTAAAACTGCAGGTCGCCAGCAACACTGCCTTTGCATGTGGCCAGCTTACAACATGAACAAAACGTACATCAATATGGAAGCTTGGTAATCTTCATAATTGAAAGGCAAACTGTTAAAACGGTTCTAGGGTTTTTAAAGTGCACGTAAAATCCGTGATCTAGCGCAGCACATCCAGACCCTTCTCCAGATTCCACAACTGCTTTAGGGCAAATGTTACATCTAAATATTCTTTTCTGTTTATACCACCTACTAGTATAAATATACAAACTTTTTTTAGCAGGTTACATTTACAGAATCACAAAAGCTCACAAACCACATGGAGATCCCATCTTGGTGTTTCCAGCAGACAAGCCACGTTGTCAACGAGATTGTCCAAAGTTGTCTGCGACCCCAGCAACTCCGGAAATTGATAGTAAAGATCGCTAAAGAAGGATTAAAGTATATGGATGAACAACTTCTTGGTTACATTGAGAGTGGTGTTTCGGTGTTGGTACTTGCGTTATCGCTCTCATTGTAATAAAGGAGTTGTTCATCCATACACTGTTATCCTTCCTCACTGCCCCAACTTCTAAATGTCTCTCAAGTTTAGTTTACGCCGCACTCAGCAATATTCCAGCTATATGGTGGCGGTCTGTAAATAATCGAGTCTGGACTAGACAATCCAGTGCTCAACAGCATGAGCATTGATATGCACAATTGGGAACCGATGACATGTGTCAACCAAGTCCGCAAGCCTGACCACCCGATCCCGTTGTCACCTCTTACGACAAGCATGGGTAACTGAAGGTTCATTCTAACCCGGACCTTCACGGGTAAGATGCTGTTAAAACAGTAGTAAGTACAGTTGCATCGTGTAACTTTGTGTATGAACTTGCTTCATGGTAACCTGTTAGTGTCCGTGGAATATGGGAGGTCCTGGTATGGTATTTAGAATCTGGTGTCCCTCAGTGATATAGCGTAATAAGAACAGAAAATCTTCACACATATAATCATTTTTGCTGAACAAAATATGCTAATTTAACCCGATAAACCCATTTTAAGCTGTACTACATTGTACTTTTAATAAATACGTTCACAGGCTTCAAATCTTCATGTATTGAAAGTTTATTGTTTAATCTTCTGGTTAAGAACATTATTACACTAACCGTTTGGTACAATATTTATTCTGCTGAATGAGGTTATAGATGATGGACAGTATTCTTGTCATTAAACCTAAAACGGCAAAAAATAGATATGATGATTAATAATGATAATACACTGATAAGAAATACATTACCAGGGGCGTAGCTACCATTACAACAAAAGCCCGGCTTACACATGATTGTTGCTAAAAAAAGTTGGGCAAGCCCTCAATACTATCTTAATATAAAGCTTTGCAACCTATCGGGCTTACACCAGAAAAATGGCTTGCTACGCGCCTGATTACACCTACTAAAACCAGAGGTACTGAACTACAATAACATAATATACTCATGCCAATAATGGTTGTCACCCCCCTCCCCAACCCAACCTCACACCCCCATCCCACACCCCCTCTTTAATTAAAAAAATTGAAGGGGGTGACAACCTTTATTGGCATGAGTATATAACGATCCATTGCAAGATGAAAGTAACCCTTTGAATCGTCAAAATGTGTTTTGGCACCGATTCAGTAAATACACGTTTACTCTGCAAAGTTTATTTAGAAAAAACATTCTTCTCGTCGTCCTTTCGGACGAATCCAATCGAATCATCGCTGACTTGCGACTCAAATATTTGGCATTAATCGAACGAGCTTGGACTAGAACTCACATCCAGATGGGTCACCGTAGGTAAAAGTAACCGTTTGTAATTGCTTCAGTATGTATGATAACACCTCATTGCTGAAATTATATGCACATTCAATTTATATATTTTTTAGGTTACAATTTCAACTTACCAAACTTCTTTACCGATTGGAGACTGTCGAATCGTACATGAGACAACTTTTGATCTCTTGCAGGTTCAATACCGATGCCGTTTTCAAACCTGCACATATATAATATCTTCAATTTCATCATATTTGTTTCACTTAATTAAACAACTTTAAAACATATTGTGAGCAAGGGAGACAAAAGAAATCAGCAATATCAAATAATAGATGTGCTACAACCAGCATTTCCAAAGTGAGAGATGTGATCTGTTTTATAATATATACTCTTCAAAATGGTTGGGGATACGCTGAAATAACTTACAATTTCCAAAACTGTAATAGAAAGTAGTTACTAGTATCTAATATAGCAGTATGATGATAATGACCCTGAAAGACAGTACTGGTAAGGTGGGAAATATTATTAAAATGAACGCTTTGGATCAGGAGTAATACCACAATGATTTGTCAAGCGATCGTTCGCTCAAGGTGGCATATTGTGGGAGTCTGCACGACTCCTCTTGCAGACCCTGGCAAAGTTCGGCCTGTAAAACATGCATTAGTTTAGAGTTAAACAAAGCGTACTGAGCCAGTAGATCTGCTTGCGACTAAGTCCACATTGTTTCCATGAGACAATATGCGATGATACTAGCTAGACAGTCTTCACGAAACTTTTCACCTGACACTGTCCCATGACGATTTGTTTGGATAGCTGAAGACTGGTGCGTCACCCTCCGATATAGATTGGGTCATTTTAAGGATAACCTTTTCAATCTTCTTTAGAACGTCATGCCTGTAGGTAGAAATGAGGTTTTAATTATGTTTCTTTTGCCTTTAAATTTGTAATAATATGGTTGTAAAAGCAATCTCAGCTTTATTAAACTTAAAACATTCCTTCAAAAACATAACTATAGAATAATGCTTCAAAAGATGCAGTTGGGAGTTTGTTGTTTGGTTGGGTTGGGTTGGGGTTTTTAATGTACAGCTAGCCTATTTATTCCAATGTAGTGGCTGTCCTTTCTCAACAAGTGCCCACCTTTGACTGACGAACAAACCCGATTGTCCACACTGAGCATCCTTCGGAGTTTCTCTTCTTTTTGATTGCTGCCACTCCACACACAACTGACGACTTAGAAAGTCAACAGAATGCCAAAAGTCTGCACTATTATTCATCGTCTGCTATTTTGTCAACAAAATATCTTCCCGGTGAGAGTAGCCCCCCTTCTTTACATGTTCCACACACCAACTTGTAACGTTTTCAATATGCCTAAAAAATTTGTTTAAATGTTTCATTATCTGTAAAATCAGGCAATAAGAACACAGGCGTGTACTAGGCAACATCGATGTTGCTTTAAATTGTGTGTATCACTGTGTATCGTTAAGTACCAGTGAAATTCAATCCTTTCATGTTTAGAACTGATATCAGTGATGTGGGGAGTTCAACAGGTCAGCGCGCAAGTTACTTCCCTTTAGTAGATTGTCTGCCCATTGCTCACGAGTCATCAGCTGGAATGGAAACATCCGGTCCTCAGTAGAAAAGCGTGCGTGTTTCATTTGTTTTTCATTTCTTTGATGTACTGTTTAGAATTCATTTCCAGGCATTGATTATCTTTTATCAATCATGTTAGTAACTGATTTCTGTTTAACGAATACAAAACCGGCAAGGTAATTTATAGCCCGTTATTGTTTATGTCAGTCCTGCCTCGGCTATCAAAATCCAGATTGACGGATACGCAATCTTATAGGTGTTTCTTTTATCTTTGGATAAAATATATTATTAAAACTCTCAGCGAAAACACACAATTCAGTTATCGGATTAAATCACTTTTGTATTGGAAGTCTGATGGTGCATTTGACAAAGTTGTCTCCAAATCACCTGCAAAAGGTTTTGTTGACAACCAACCCATCTTACAGAATCACTGTCTGACCGTGTCTGCGGTTTGTCTGTATCAGAGTCACTTTAAATCAGGAACCATGAAGTTGTTATTGTGACCAGGAATATTTATCTACTACCACAGATGAACACTAAACTATTACATCATATCATTTTAAGCCTTTGGTGATATATTTGCTGTCATCCTTACTTTGCTAAAAATCTATCACAGCCATTTGCCATGTTTCAGCCATGGAAATATGGGCAGCATTTGACCTCACACAGCAGGGAACAGGGCAAAAGGGCCAAAGGAAAGTCAAAAGGGCCAACAGAAAGCCAAAAGGGCCATAGACTTAAGTCAAAAGGGCCAAACTTTTATAAAATAGTAAGATTAAAAGAAATTCATTACATGTTGTTGCAGTAGTTCTAATCCTAAACATCCTAAATACATCAGAGTGCCTGAGTGTTGTTTATTTAAATAATCTCAAAGTGGTTAAGTGTTTACTTTATACCATACAACTGTTTGTCTAATGTTTACAAGTAGTCAGTAATCTAAACAAGATTAACAGCAGTGGTTAAGTGTTTATGTTGTGAGTATAGTCAACCATACAACTGTTTCTGTAATGATTACAAGAGGTTTAAACAGAGTCATGGGTGTCAGACACTAGTCAGTAATCTATAGTAATATATATTAGTTTGTATGTTCTTTTTTTACCTATGGCCCTTTTGACTTTCTATTGGCCCTTTTGACTTTCCTTTGGCCCTTTTGACTTTTTCAATTTGGCCCTTTTGTCCTTTGGCCCTTTTGACTACAACCCACACGGCAGGGACTCACCAATAACACAAAACTGTTGGCATTATTAGGTAGACTGAACAATTCATTTACTTTTTTATTTAGTCAAGCTCAATAATTGTCAGATCACAAGTGATCACAATGTGATCATAATTATCTAAGGTGCCACAACACAGTTTAGTACCTTTGTCAGCCAGTTTTCTGAAGATATTACAGGCTTCATGCATGTCATGGTAACATAAAACTGTTATGTACCTTATGTTTCAGATCAGTCCATCATCTTGCCACATCCCTGATGTACACATTGCTGTCCGGCCTGTACAAGTACTTGTTCCAGAAAGATGAATACTTTGTCCTCATCCTGGGACTTGACAATGCTGGAAAAACGGTGAGGATAATACTTCTTTTTTCATTCATTATTTTATTTGATATTTTCCTGAAATGTTATTATTCCTAATAGTGACAGGTACCGTCCTCACAATAGTGCTCATTCACAAGTCAGAAGAGCATCTCTATCATAAGGAAACAATCTTCCTACCAATAAGGGTACAAGTTGTTCTCAGCTTGCACAAGTTCATGCTACCTGTCTTGTTCATGGCCATTGTTTAGGAAGCAGCCCCTTGCAGCTTGTTACAAATAATTGAATGTGACATCAGGGTTTTACTCGACGCACAAATGTGCAACTTGTATGCCCAAATGTAGAGAATTGATGCAGAAAAACCCAAAATACTGCATCCAGAGAGACGCAGAAAATACCAAAGGCATACCTACAGCACATCAAGAGTAATTATCTGTTAGTTCACCAATCAGTCCTGACCATTGTCCACATGATCACTGATTCATGCCAGGATCTGAACGTTACACCACATCATCTCAATACAGGACCCTCATACTACCAGCAAGGACCCCTAACATATATTGATGACTTTTGTAAGTCAAGGTAAAACCCTTGTGACATCATTCATTTTCATAACAATGGTTCTTTCACATGACCAGTAGGCACCAGCATATGTCTAGCTAAGCTAATTTTAAAGATGTCTACTTGTGAGTGAATTGAAAACTGATGTTAGTTGTGTTGAAAAATACTACTTTCATAATCATGTTTGTCTGGCCATATCACCAGAATTATGTGAAGGCACACGTGTGAGGAATGTTTGAACAGCTGCATGTCTCTACTGACCCTCTACATGTAGCTAAGTGACCAGTCATGTGACCCTCGGACATTGCCCACTGTAAGCCCCATGAGTAGCTGTATGATCGAGCTCTTGATTGAGCACTGTCTTAGGACAATCGAGAAACACTCAGTGTTATATCCATACATGTAAGCCACGGTATGGTGTCTTTGTTGGTTTTCTCCTTTTTTGAAGGAATTACATTGTGTGAAGGCAGTGTCACATATTTTAGAAGTTTGTATTTGAAATTACAATAAATAAGATTAACTAACTTTAAAGTTGTGTCAGAACTGGTCAATTTGTCTGTCAGGTGTGGTTGGCCAAGTCTACGTCCCAACCTTCATCATCAATGGCTTCACCAGTATACATTGGAGAGCAACATGTTTTAAGCAAGATAACTGTAACCATTTTTATGATATGGAACTATTCAGAACATGTACGGTGCCACCAGGCCCATCTGTTCAGCAAAACAATTCATTCCACAATAATTCCTGAATGACCTTCAGTGCATTATTTCCTGTTTCTTGGACTTACTAAGAACTTGATTACTGACACAAACTAAAGACACATACAAATATAAACATGTTTTGGGTGATATAATGTAGACAAGTGGTCATGTGTATGTGCAGGGGGACTTGTAAAGTATATAGTTTATAATTATGTCCTTACTTAGTAAATGATTTTCATAACCAGGACTGTTGGTGATGATATGAAATAGTGTAGTGTAATGTGCTGTAGGATGTAATGATTTCTTTTATAACAGGAACTTTATGTTTTTATTATATACCCATGTAAACTTAGGATAGTAATACAGGGGTGCAATACGGATGACGTGGTCAAATTCTGTATTGCACCCCAGATTCCGTATTGAACCCTTGCCGGTTCTACTTATTAAGTAACAGATTCATGCAAGATAAGATATATAGGATGTCATACTAGTGCATTTGGATGTTTTGTATTGAACTCGAAGATGTCATGGGAGCAGAGAAACAAAGAGTTTGAAGAACGAGTTGTTTCTCTGCTCTCATGACATCTTCTCGTTCAATACAAAACATCCAAATGCACTAGTATGACATCCTATATATATTTGGTACAGTGAATATTATTGTGCATCCCTGTATTTTTTTGTTTTGTTTCCATCCATTCCATATTTTTGTGCTTATTGGAAGTGAGTGAGTTACTGGTGCGAGATGTGATCTACTTTCCAAGTTTCTATACAGGATGTATAGAGTTGTTACTTTTGTCATCAGACATATCTGGAGCAGACGAAGACCAAGTTCAACAGGAACTATCAGGGAATGAACCTGTCCAAGATCACCAGCACAGTTGGTCTCAATAGTAAGTGATCTCCCGGCTCTGTAAGTCTCGATACAGGTTTACATTGTCATGTCTTGGAGGAAAGCTTGTATGACGAGTAGTAGTAGAGGGGGGGTTTTGCCGCATATGCGGCTTAGAGGCTTATTTGTGTGAATTAAGCGTCCCAGCCCCCTTAAAGGCATCCTTCGATGTGCCGCCAGCCTAGACCAAAAGTTCCAAATATTGACTGATCGGGAGTCCTGGTTGTGTGATGGTAGAGCGTAGGAGTCGTAATCCAGCGACGCAAGTTCGAGACGGGGTACCGGCGGAAACTTTTGCAAGTGGAGTCAGCGATGGGCTGGTGCAAAGGTTTGCACCAAAGTGACCGCTCATGCTATGAGCGGTCAGTGTTCAAGGTCGCGCTGGTGCAGAGGTTTGACCGCTCATACTATGAGCGGTGAGGGTTCAAGGTCTCGGGTCAGGATCGTGGCTTCTGGCTGTGGCCTGTCACGTGGGTATTGAATACAAAGCAAGGCACACAGCCGTATTAGGGTTGCTGGCTGGTTGTAGCGAAAAGGATGTTTGAAACCAGACGCTGAAAACATTTTTAGAAGCTACAATCAAAGCGTATGAGTTAAATATAGCAATGTTAAAATCTACAAAAAACAGTTTGCTTGATGTGCTTTGATCTAAACAGTAGCTGTTGCCTGACTGCCTACGGTCGGGTTGACCTAATGTGGGTTTCTTGAAAAGTAGTAGTACGATGAGGGTTTATTATTTTTTACTAGGTTATGTTTAAGGTGAGTCTTTGATGAGATCTTTGTTCTTGGTAAGGAAGGTTTGAATGATTTGTTGTCGACCCTGTTCTATGAGCTCTTTTTCTCGTCTTCGCCGATGTCAGCGGTTTTTCGAGTCTTGGTTCGAATCTCTTCTTTCATTCAGTGGTATTTCGCGATTTCCAACATCACCAAAGGAAACTCTTCCTCGGAGATTTTGCTATCGGTGATCCCGGTGGAAATATGATCGTTGATCGTGTTTAACTTGGCTTCGACCAGAACCCTGGTCCTATCATGCTTCAGCGCTTTCCGTTGCAGACGACGTGAAATGAATTTAAGGGCTACTCCCGCCAGCCCCGATACCCCGGCGGTTATTTCTAACCCGAGGACGACGGGTGTGGCCATGATAGTGGATAATAAGCCAACGCCTGCTACTCCTAATCCCATGCTAGCTGCCACGAGAGATGTGTCCACACTGTTGATGGCATTGACGGCTCGATGGTATTTTTTGTGCAATCCGAGTCGCACACCGCGCTCTCGTTCCAATTGGTGTTTAATTTCGCTGATCTGTCTGAGCGTTTGAGCCCCGTCTTCCATGGCCGGATACAATCCCATCTCGAGTATATTATAAGTTAGGAAATAAGCTTCAATTGGTCCTCGGTCAATCTTTGATTAATATATTTATAGCTAATGAGGTTGAGATTGTCATATAAATAAACCCTTGATACTATAACGGATTTCGTGGTATCAGGACTACGAACAAAAACTCCCACCAGGTTGGTCGTGGGAACTGTTCCGGGTTGTATATAAATACGGCAACGTTGATGTTCATGTTCCCTAACCCAGCGTAGTATATAGAACTACATATTTTTGCAGCAATGCATATTGTATACAAGAGAGGAAATCCACCCTGCTTCCCATTCGAGGCATTCGACAAAGCAGAGGCTGCATACTGGAAAGAGGACCCTATGGAGTATTCTTCGATGGACGAAAAACTATGAGAAATGGCTGGGGAAGGCCCAACAGACCAAACAGCTCCTATACTAAGCCACTTTGGCATACATACAGCAAAACAGTTTGTAAATCGTAGCAGAATGTATATCATTGGGTACACGAGAGGTATTCTATTCTGTATCCCTGGTGGGACTATTTGTTTCTTTAGCTGTATACTACAGACACCAGTCTATCTTTGTTTTTTTGTGGTGTTGTCTTTTCTGGACCTACTCTACAGAAAAGCAAGCTGTCTGCTTTCCGCAGGGCTTCTACTCTGCCAAGTTTTTCTATTTCCTTCTCTAGAAAGTATCCATATGTCGGTATTTCGATGTCTGTGGTTGGGTTCCCTTCTACCCCCACTGGCAGCAGATACAATACAATTCTTGCTTTCCCTCGGAATGTTGCAGCGGCAAACTTTCTGCACATGTATTTTCCAGGCTCGACATCTAGAAGTTTGGTTGTATCCTTTGGAAGTGGGTCTATTGCAGTCTCTACCACAATGGTTTGCATTTTTTCGTCTAGCAGGTTGTTGTAGTCTTGCTCTATCTCGGTTTCTATAGAAGATAGCTTTCTAGGATCTGGGGCAACTACTACGGCAATAGGATTCCAGAATATGGTCCTTCCATCTTTCTGGAAAGTTCTGGTGGGTTCTATGCGGATGTGCAGGCCAACAGGGTATTCTTTGCTGCAGGCCAAGCCTCACGATTTTCGTCCGTGCGTATTTGTCCGTAGTGGTCTCCACAAAGTCGTAGTTCTCTTCCAGCACACGCTCCATGTTTGCCCAAACCACAATTGGCATTTCTACGCCTTTTTGCAACAAGACTACTCTGCTGGCTGTTTGTCCTCCTGGTTGTTTGCGGTATCCTAGAATGGACCATGTAGTATTTGCAACGTCTTCTATTTTTTTCGTTTGTGTATTTCGTAGAAGCCTTGCCTATGGTGCTACATTTGGCTGTTCTCCATTCCCACTCTACTGTCTTGCAAGAAGGCAATAGAATACTTGGATCTGCTCCATTTGGATGTAGCTGGGTTGGTCTTCTACTTGCAGACAGTGTCGTTTTGGTATCAGGATCCTTTGTATAGCAACGTAGTGGACCTAGCTCCACACCAGCATCTGTAGCGGAGAGTATATCTACCCGAAATATTGGACATGCTCGGAAACCAAAATCTGCTGCAGCCCATTCTATCGCTTTCTCCCACGTAGGATCGTCGTCAGCTCTTGTTGGAGCAATACGGACCCCAGAAATTCTACCCGTCTCCGAATGTGCATACCAAACTACGAATATGGTGCCCTGTGGGCGATCTGCCAGAACAAGACAGCGGTCTAGATATTTCGATAGGTTTTCCCATTGTTTTGCTTGTGGTTGTACGACGAACAAGTTGGTGTCTGGAGGAGATACCATTTCTAGAGTTTGTTCTACCAAATCGTTTGCTATTTCTTCCGAGTTGTGTGGATGTGTGTAGAGCGAAACTTCTATGCGAGTACAACCATGGGCTTGCACGTCTGGATGCAGGAAAGTTTTCCACAAGTACAGTATAAACCTGATAAGTAAAATTTCAAGGGACTCGCCAAAATTGTTTACTTATCAGGTATTTTACTTATCCAAACTTATCAAAACCCGGAAATGACAGCAGAACAACAGACAACATTTGTAAGTAATATGACATGTTTTATTCTCTAACATTTCATTGCGTTAAGTAATACATTTATAATACAAAGTAATAAAAATCAAACATAATGAAACAAAATATTTTAGCCTAACAGTCTAACTTATTACTCCACAAAAGATGTCATGAGGGATTGTCTCTTTGTGAAACATTTCTTCATTTCCTTTTGTGTTACATAGTTGGCCACCATGTTGTATCCTGTCATTACACTGTCTCCATCGTCTTGTGATATCACATAACGCCTGACGATTTCTAGGGCTGCTGTTGTGGCATCAAGAGTAGGTGGTAGAGGAGGGGGCACATCGTCTTCATCTTTGTCGTCGCTGGGTCCTGGTCCTGGAATCAATAATGTTCTGGACGATGTCTTGCTCACTGGCAGGGCAGCTGGTTACTAAGTCATCATCTACACTGGCATACTGCGCAAGAGTGATGTTGTTGACAACTAGGGTGGCAAGAGGCACATCATCCTCAGGGTCGCTGTCATCATCGTCTTGGGTGTTGGTCTGGTCTGAGATCTTGAAGCCTGCATGCAAGTAGCACTTGTTGATTGTCTGGGGTTGGACGCAGTCCCAAGCCTGTCGTAAATGCTGCATGGCATCAAGGACTGTTATGCTTACAGACTCCTTCTTGTCAATGGCCTTGATGAACTTGGTCTTCAGCTGCTTTCTGTAGTGGACCTTTAGGTTGTTGATGACGCCTTGGTCCATCAGCTGAGTCTTGGATGTTGTGTTTGGAGGCAAAAACACAAGTCTGATGGCCTTCAGATTGTCTACATCAGGATGGGCGTTTAGCGTTTTCGGGACGTCACATGAAACACAGCGTTTGGGTCCTCACGCAAAAAACTTCCTGAAAGACCTGAGGGAACAGACGTGATGGGTCGCCCTGTTTCACTGCAAGGATAAGGATTCGTTCGAGGAATGTTTAAGGGAAAACGACGTGATTCCCACCAAACCCGAACGAGAACGCGTGAGAACCTTGTTAGCCCAAACGAAACACGCCAAACTCGTGCTGAAAACAGACCAACCCGTGACTTATGTGGTGTGCTAGCTTAGCAAAATCAAGCAACCTGCTAAGCAAAACCAAGCAACCTGCTTAGCAAAATTAAATGTATACCATGACGATGTTTGAAATTCTCGTGTTGTTTTACCTGCTATTCATCTCATTCTGTTTGGGCTATGTCAGATTTTATAATATTAGATTTAGAAACAGATTGATGTATTACAAGATGGAGTTGGACCCCATGTTCGTGCAAATGATATCCGAGGAAGAGAAGGAGAGTGAAAATGATCATGTCAGGGATAAACGAGAGAGACTCGTGGCCCTCATCGTGGGTGGGAAGGGGAAACAATACTTGGGCAAAACCATAACCACCGATAAAATTTATAAGATGTCTGAGGGGGACATCGATAAACTGTACGCAAGATACGAATCCCGATTCGGTGCCAAAATGACAAAAACCATAGGGTCGACTCTTTAATGTTACACCACGATCGCTTTGTCTCTGCTTCCCATTCCACTGGCACGTCGACCTTATTTGTGTGAAGATCTAGACGTGGATCCGTTTATCGGTCACTCCTTGAACACCCTCAGTTGCAAGTGGTATCACCGATACGGTGTATTCTTAGCTCCCATCACCGCGGCGATCATTACGGCGAGGCACTCCCAATTTAAACATAAATGTCAGACTACTGATATACGAGATGACGGAGCCGAACACCGAAACGACTCCTGCGATGGAGGAGACCCCCCACTGAGTGATTGATACCGTCACGAAGAAACCCAAGAATCCAAAAAAAGTAGCCGCCGGTAAAAAAAGGGGGTTAGCTAAGCATCATAAACCGACCCCGCCGTGGATTCCGTACTCTGTGGCAGCCCGCTGTCGTGGGTATCACCGCAGTCGTATGGCTCCATCAACAAAGGACACCACCACCACCACCGGTGGTGACCCCATCGACAAAACCACAATTAGAGGTAAACCCACACCTTATGTTATAATCATGTCTAACCCCGACAGAAAAACGTTCGTCAACGACGCGTATCACGCCGCCGGGGTCAGCGGGTTGGCCATAGGCTAAGCAAAATGATCACAAACAACCGGCACTCAAACTCAATTTCAACCTGCAAGACATGGGCATGCTCGTGCTCGACTTGGGACTGGCGATGGCCACCAAAGAGATGCTCGTCAAGCAAGGCATCATTCCGGAAAACATATTAAAGTAAGAAAGTATAAAATATATTAAAAAAATGGCCACGGTCGCGATCATGTTGGGGGGCTTTAGTCAACGTCCTGGCCTTTTCTGGGAGCAATTATCTCTTTTCCTGATTACGAACGTCCAACGCGACCGACCGATATCCGAAACATCACAATTTGGCCGTGGAGAAACTGATTTATGAGAAGAAAAAAGATTATCTCAACGATCGTAAACGACTCCTCAGAATAAAAATTTAAAAAAAAGAAAAAGATTTTTTATGTGCGCTTCATTTACAAAAGAGAAGGCTGATGGAGTTATCTCCCCTTGAAAAAACAACCAATTAGACATTTGACTTTGCATGTGGATATATCAATCAATTAGACATTTGACTTTGCAGGTGGATATATAAATCAATTAGACATTTGACTTTGCATGTGGATATAGCAATCATGACGACCGGTGGCGAACTCAAAGCTCTTGCTAAAAGTCTCGGATTGGTGGGTTATTCTCGCATGAGGAAACCCCAACTGCTCACTTTGCTCGACATGAAATATGTCAAGCCCCCTACTGTGCGAGACCTCAAACTCCGAGCTAAAGAACGAGGATTGAAGGGTTATTCTCGCATGAGGAAAGCCCAACTGCTCACCTTGTTGGAAGACACCATGCCGGTCGAGTAGAGATATGTGCCGACGGACCATGCCGTGGGTAAGTATCTGAGAGGCTGGTAAATAACCATGCAGTCTAACATCGACGTCAACAGCGTCAAACCTCTGATCGCCAACAAAGTCGAAGAAAAGTTGGATGATTTAAAAAGTATCAAATACCAGTTGACCATCCACATGTAGCTCAACAAACAGCAGACGGATGGCAGTACCGAGTCCATCGAGCCTTATTTCAGAGGCAAGCAGGAAGTCGTACTTCAATCCGACTCGATCCCTTCGACCCTCCATACCTCGCTACAAAAAGTACAAGAATCGTTGGCACGGTGGATGCACAGGGGTTCTGGGTGGGTGGTGGGAAGTATCAACACCATCTATTTGGACATAGTGAACTACGTACCATTCAGTAGCTGATCGTACCTAGACTTGCCTCCGTATAAAAGAATAAAAAAGCCATCGTGAACGTTAAAAACTACAACGACGACGATCACTGCGGGTTCAGGTACATGGTCGTCCGATGCGACGGACGAACGAATGCTCCCGTGATCTACCGAGGTCCCGATGCGGCCGAAACATTACTCACGTTCTTACAACGTGAAGAGAGAAACATCAGGGAACCTTTGTCGGACCCTGCCCCGTAATCTCGCTCACAAAAAGGCTCAGCATTGCTACGTGTGCGACCAACCCCTGAACGGGGATGTCGTGAGAGATCATTGCCACATCACCGGTCGATACAGAGGTGCTGCCCATAACGCTTGCAACCTCCAGCTTACACCGATGCGGCAACTCGACCTCTGCTGCTATGGAAGGGCGTGTACCCGAGTACATGGACAATTGGACCAAGTTTGGGGAGCCACGATTCTCTCTCTCTCCCCCCCTATCGACTGATTTTACAGTGGCTTGCTGCTGGCCGACGTGTTCGAGACATTCAGAACGACGTGTTTGAAACAGTATCAACTCGACCCCACCTGGAACTACACCAGCCCCCGGTCTCTCGTGGGATGCACTGCTGAAGAAAACCAGAGTTAAACTGGAATTGCTCACGGATTACGACATGCACCCGTTCATCGAGAAAGGCATGCACGGTGGGATTTCCATGGTCTCCAAACGGTACGCGAAACAACAACCAATACATGGAAAGCTATGACTCAAGCAAGCCCACCATCCACCTCCTGTATGTGACTGGATGTCGGACTATCAACTAACGTTGCTATGGAAAAATAAGCTCGCCAAAAACTCGTTCCGAACTTGATGCACAAGACCAAGTACGTGGCACACTATCAGAATCTGCAACTGTACTAGTTGCTGGGCATGAAGCTAACCAAAATACATCGGGTGCTGCAATTCGATCAAAGTTCCTGGATTGAACCTTACATTCGGTTGAACACCGAGCTGCGAAAACAGGCCACCAGCGACTTCGAGAAAAACCTCTACAAACTCATGAACAATTCGATGTTCGGCAAAACCATGGAAAACTTGAGAAAACACGTCAACGTAAAACTCGTGCGATCTTACGAGAAGAAAAACTCAGGCAACTCATAGCCAGCCCGGCCTTCAACCAGAGCAAGCTATTCCATAAGGACTTGGAAGCGCTACACATGAACAAAAGCCATATCAAGCTCAACTGACACAGTCCAAACATTTGATGTACGCCCTTAATTACAACCGACTCAAACCACAGTACGGCGATCGGCACGAGCTGCTGTACACCGACACCGATTCCTTGTTGTTGAATATACACACCAAGGACGTGAACGAGGACATGGCGAAACACCTGCACCTGTACGACACCAGCGATTACCCCCGAGACCACGCCCTACACAGCACGACCAATAAAAAGGTCCTCGGCAAGATGAAGGACGAATGCGCCGGCACACCCATCGCAGAGTACATCAGATTGAGACCTAAAATGTATTCCATTCAAAAAGCCGATCATGATGAAATCCAAAAGGCGAAAGGGGTCAAGAAATACGTGGTGAAACAACACATCAAACACACCTTCTTCAAACAGGCTCTCTTCGATAAATGCATGTTCAAACACCCCATGAACACGTTGAGAAGCAACAAACACATCATCTATGGCATCACTCTCAACAAGACCTCGCTATCGCCCCTGGATACCAAACGATCGATTGCGAACAATGGCATCCACACTTATAGCTATGGGTACCAACAGTAGGCCTCGACGCGTTGGGAGTTTCCGAGACCCCCAATAAAGGAAACTCCACTCAATGCGTCGAGACAATTGAATGAAGAATAGCGTGTATACATCATGGAGAAGGTTTACAACAGCCCTCGGGGTTACTGGAAAGGCGTGAGCGCCATCCCGAAGCAAGCCAAAGCCACTCGCGTCTCTGAGGATACCGCCAAAGCTTGGCTTAAAAAACAAGCCATCTGGCAAGTGTACCTGCCGGCTCCCCGATACATCCCGAGAAGAAAGTTTGACATTTCCATACCCAATCGTACCAATCAAGCCGACCTCCTGTTTCTCCCACACGACAGGGTGAGAAACAAAATGTACAAGTACGCCCTGACCGTCGTGGACGTTGCCAGTCGCTACAAGGAAGCGGAGCCGTTAACGACCAAAGATTCGAGTCAAGTTGCTAAGGCCTTAGAACGCATCTACAAATGCTGTTGCTTGACATGGCCAATTACAAGTCGATCCCGGACGCCGAGTTCATGGGAGCCGTGTCGCAGCTGTTATCAAAGCATAAAGTCCAGGTGAGACGAGGCGTGGCCGGAGCTCACCGAAGCCAAGCCATGGTCGAAAGATTCAACAGGACTTTAGCTGGCGAGGTCATCAGTATGCTCAAGAGATGGTCAACCCAGAAAAACGATCGACGGAATGGGTCGTTTAGGTCTCGTGGGCACCGAACGGTTACAACGTCTCATGGATATGTTAATCGATTATAGCTTCAAGACCCGAGAATGTGATGTCCTGTACTCTCTAATCGTCTTCGACGACTTCATGGCAGACCCACTCCATAAAGTCGTCGCCGAATATTACGGCTACATTTAGATGGGTCGGTCAGAATAAACCCAGTCCACATGGCGTTGCTAAGCTCGGCCATCTTTGTTTGGCTTAGAAACCACGATCCTGACCCGCAACCTTGAACCCTCACCGCTCACAGCATGAGCGGTCAAACCTCTGCACCAGCGCAACCTTGAACACTGACCGCTCATAGCATGAGCGGTCACTTTGGTGCAAACCTCTGCACCAGCCCGTCGCAGACTCCACTTGCAAATGTTTCCGCCGATACCCCGTCTCGAACTTGCGTCGCTGGATTACGACTCCTACACTCTACCATCACACCACCGGGACTCCCGATCAGTCAATATTTGGAACTTTTGGTCTAGGCTGGCGGCACATCGAAGGATGCCTCTCGCTATTTTTTTTAAGGGGGCTGGGACGCTTAATTCACACAAGTAAGCCTCTAAGCCGCCTGTGCGGCAACAGCCCACACCCCTACCACCCCTCTACTACTACTTGACGCATACTTTAAAGAGTTACCTCCCTTCCAACATTGATCTGTAAACAAAGTAGTCCAGGCAAAAATAGTGCAACAGTGACATCCGTATATGTATCCTGTACCAAGACTCGCTGAAATAAAGTGTTGTTTTAGAAGTTCAGCAGCTTGCTCTGTGTGATTGTCCTCCATCCATTTCTAGTTGGAAAGATTGACTTGGGCAAAGTGCGTCTCAACTTCTGGGATCTTGGAGGTCAAGAGGAGCTTCAGTCCCTGTGGGACAAGGTGAGACCAGTGACTGTGATGTTTGATGATAGTTTGTAAATAATATTTGTTTAGAATACATGCACAAATAACGAAGATGTTAGTTAAAACATTGACTCGACAACTGTTTTGTTTCATGAACTGATTAATGGTGTATGTTTTGAGTGAGTGTAGTTTTACGCCGCACTCAGCAATGTTCCAGCTATAAGGTGGCGGTCTGTAAATACTCGAGTCTGGACCAGACAATCCAGTGATCAACATCATGAGCATCATTCTACGTAGTTGGGATACAATGACGTGTGTGAACCAAGTCAGCGAGCCTGGAGTGAGTGTAACTGTTTGGTGTGAGAGTGTGTGTTGTGGACTTGTGCAGAATTCCCCAGTGATGGTGACCAACCTGTCAGTCAGACTACGACACAAGATTATCTAAAAACTCCAGAAAAACTGTTAACTATTCTAGGGCAAGTGTATATAAAGCGCTTCTCAGGGCTCCTTTCAATTCAGTCGTCATGGCCATATTTTCAAACTGGTAAAATTACATTGTCTGTATTTGAGTGTATCAAAACTTAAATTCCTTTTCATGCCAGTGGGTTATTTCTTCAACTAAGAATAGAGATACTTTCTTATAGAAAAAAGACCCTCGTGCCAAGGCATGATCCACGTTGCCTTGAACTTTCCCAGTAGTCGAGTGATGTCACCTGTTTTTATCCACCTGACTGGTTCGGTTCCATGAATGTACAGTCATGTTTTGTCACACAGTTCTCAACATAATTCTTGAACGTTACCACTAGAATTTTAAAAGTTTGAAACCTATTCACAAAATGTGGGTGTTAGTCTGTGCTCAATCTGTTTTCAAGATTGTCCTCAATATTTTCATTTCAGAGAAGAAAGTTTCTGTTTTTTAACAGTGTGTATATATATGTGTTCTTCAGTACTACGCTGAGTCCCATGCAGTCATCTACATCGTGGACTCCTCAGACACCGAGAGGATAGAGGAATCCAAAGCAGCATTTGGTACGTTGTCATTCTTCTTACTCACATCTTATTTCAAGTCTCATTAGAACCATATATCAGGTCTCACCCTCACTATATGAGATTCCAATCAGTTACACTGTAAAGTCCTTCTCACACTATATATCCAGTCCCACATACACACTATCAGGTCCCATACACACTAAGTGAGGTCCTACTTGACCAAATAGCAAGTCCCACACATACTTATATGCAATATCCTGCCCCGATGATGTTGCTTCTTTGTTTAGATACGATGATCACGAACAACACCCTGTTGGGGTTGCCCCCGATGATGATGATGTTGCTTCTTTGTTTAGAAAAGATGATCACAAACAACACCCTGTTGGGGTTGCCCCCGATGATGATGATGTTGCTTCTTTGTTTAGAAAAGATGATCACAAACAACACCCTGTCAGGGCTACTCCTGATGTTGTTTCTTTGTTTAGAAAAGATGATCACAAACAACACCCTGTTGGGGTTGCCCCTGATGATGTTGTTTCTTTGTTTAGATAAGATGATCACAAACAACACCCTGTTGGGGTTGCCCCTGATGATGATGTTGCTTCTTTGTTTAGAAAAGATGATCACAAACAACACCCTGTCGGGGCTACTCCTGATGATGTTGTTTCTTTGTTTAGAAAAGATGATCACAAACAACACCCTGTTGGGGTTGCCCCCGATGATGATGATGTTGCTTCTTTGTTTAGAAAAGATGATCACAAACAACACCCTGTTGGGGTTGCCCCTGATGATGTTGTTTCTTTGTTTAGATAAGATGATCACAAACAACACCCTGTTGGGGTTGCCCCACAAACAACACCCTGATGATGATGTTGCTTCTTTGTTTTAGATAAGATGATCACAAACAACACCCTGTTGGGGCTTCCCCTGATGATGTTGCTTCTTTGTTTAGAAAAGATGATCACAAACAACACCCTGTTGGGGTTGCCCCTGATGATGTTGTTTCTTTGTTAAAATAACATAATCACAAACAACACCCTTGCTGGGGTGCCCCTGATGATGTTGTTTCTTTGTTTAGATAAGATGATCACAAACAACACCCTGGCTGGGGTGCCCCTGATGATGTTGTTTCTTTGTTTAGATAAGATGATCACGAACAACACCCTGGCTGGAGTGCCCCTGATGTTGCTGGCCAACAAGCAGGACCTCGATGTAAGAACTATACATGCTTGTTACAATACACCTGTGCAAAACAATACATATCTGTTGCACCTTATCCCTCCCTGGACGTTTTTTCACCTCCTTAGTACCAAAGCCATTCACTAATGCATGAACTAGACACCCCCCTGATAGTGCCACCGTGGGGCAGGAGACACCCTAGAGACCCTACCTGTGTCAGTTATTCACCCAGACACCTAGGCATGAGACACCCTAGAGATCCGCCAGTGTCAGGCAGTCACCCAGACATCTGGGCAGGAGACACCCTAGAGATCCGCCAGTGTCAGGCATTCACCCAGACATGTAGGCAGGAGACACCCTAGAGATCTGCCAGTGTCAGGCATTTACCCAGACACCTAGGCATGAGACACCCTAGAGATCTGCCAGTGTCAGGCAGTCACCCAGACATCTGGGCAGGAGACACCCTAGAGATCCGCCAGTGTCAGGCATTCACCCAGACACCTAGGCAGGAGACACCCTAGAGATCCGTCAGTGTCAGGCAGTCACCCAGACACCTAGGCAGGAGACACCCTAGAGATCTGCTAGTGTCAGGCAGTCACCCAGACACCTAGGCAGGAGAGACTCTCCTGTGTCAGGCATTCACCCAGACAACTAGGCAGGAGACACCCTAGAGATCCGCCAGTGTCAGGCAGTCACCCAGACATGAAGACAGGAGACACCCTAGAGATCCGCCAGTGTCAGGCATTCACCCAGACATGTAGGCAGGAGACACCCTAGAGATCTGCTAGTGTCAGGCATTCACCCAGACACCTAGGCAGGAGAGACCCTGAGACCTGTGTCAGGCATTCACCCAGACACCTAGGCAGGAGAAGCCCTAGAGAGCCTCCTGTGTCAGTCATTCACCCAGACACCTAGGCAGGAGACACCCTAGAGATCCGTCAGTGTCAGGCATTCACCCAGACACCTAGGCAGGAGAAGCCCTAGAGAGCCTCCTGTGTCAGGCATTCACCCAGACACCTAGGCAGGAGAAGCCCTAGAGATCCTCCAGTGTCAGGCATTCACCCAGACATGTAGGCAGGAGACACCCTAGAGATCTGCCAGTGTCAGGCATTCACCCAGACACCTAGGCAGGAGACACCCTAGAGATCTGCCAGTGTCAGGCAGTCACCCAGACACCTAGGCAGGAGACACCCTAGAGATCCTCCAGTGTCAGGCAGTCACCCAGACATCTGGGCAGGAGACACCCTAGAGATCAGCCAGTGTAAGGCATTCACCCAGACATTTAGACAGGAGACACCCTAGAGATCTGCCAGTGTCAGGCAGTCACCCAGACACCTAGGCAGGAGACACCCTAGAGATCTGCCAGTGTCAGGCATTCACCCAGACACCTAGGCAGGAGACACCCTAGAGATCTGCCAGTGTCAGGCATTCACCCAGACACCTAGGCAGGAGACACCCTAGAGATCTGCCAGTGTCAGGCATTCACCGAGACACCTAGGCAGGAGAAGCATTGTTGAGTCAAAGCACCTGTTAAATATTGAATCAGCTGAACATTATGCATCATAGTGTTTGATCATACACTGTTACAGCATATAATATGTTCTTACCCAAACCTAGTCAGTTCATAAATCGTTTTGGCTAATGTGACAAGATGCAAGAATGCAATAGGGTTGCTTCAGTCAGTGAACAATAAGCACAAGGACAAGTATGAGTCTGATGTTGTACTGTTAGGTTTATGGATTTTACCTTATCCTCATACTATTTCCTTCTCTCTCCCCCCACCCAAGATACAGTGGAAACATTCTGTTTTATGTTCCCCAAGAACAGCAGAAACATCTCACCTGAACGCAACCCCTCCGCTGTGTATGTGCACCAGCCATCCACATGACCAGTCTCTCAATACACAATACTTTATCCTGCCTCATACGCCAATCCATCCCTGCTCTCCACTAATTTGTTAACAATTTGGAATTTGCAAAAATGGAGAGAGTGACAAGTCAACAGCTGATCACATGGGAGGCCAGTGGGCATGCGAAATGTAGGGCTATGTTCACAGGAGATGCTTTTACTGTTCTTGGTTAACATTAAACTGAATGTTTCCACCGTATCTCAGGTCAAGGGAGAGAGAAGCAAATAGTATGAGTTAGGATAAGTAATAAATAATATTTTTACTCTAGAAAAATACAGTTTTGAACACTGTGTGTATGAAAGGGTATTTGCTGTATATTTACTAATGAAAGATATCTACTGATATGTCATGCAAGAAGGGGCATATTGTCAGTAAAACACTATGTTTGCTTGTTGCGATATAGGCAGGATTAATCTGTGAATCAAGACCTGGAGTTGTTAACAATGAAGAGATAATGATTCAGGACAGGTTTCAGTGTACACAATAAACCTCGAGCTCCATTCAGTGAAGTCAAGTTTTGTGAAGGATCTTATTGGTAGCATGTTAGAAATCCTGTAAATTCTGTTTAGTTGCAGGGGTTGAATATTTTAATCTGGCTATATCAATCTATCAATATTAATGGTAATCATCAATAATGCTATCAATGTTACAGTGTAGTACGAGTGCAGTGTGGTAAAGTATTAGCTTTGTAAAGCAAGACCTGGTTGGATTTCTCACAGAGGTTATATGTGGAAGGCCATCTTGATGACCCCCAATAAAACTGACTTGAAACTAAAATCATTCAATCAATACAATCAAGTAAAATGAAAGTGTGACGACAACTTTGAAGTAACTGTTACAGCTTCTCAAGTTACAGAAAGAATTACGTGAGACTTCCATTGTAACACTCGTAGCAGTTGAAAGCCATGTGTTGGTGGTTATCAGTATGGCGGCTTGCAACAGGATCATGTTTGTGACTGATTGTCTCATGAAGACAGCTCTGTCTGGAATACTCATGCCATGTTGTCCTCCCCAGGGCTGTGTGAAGGTGTCCGACATGAGGACCGTCTTTAGCCCCAGCCAGGAGCTGATTGGTCACAGGGACCTGCATGTGTCGGGAGTGTCTGCACTAAAAGGGTGAGTATGGAGATATTGTACCTGTGGTACATACAATACAGGGACCTGCATGTGTCGGGAGTGTCTGCACTAAAAGGGTGAGTATGGAGATGTTGTACCTGTGGTACATACAATACAGGGACCTGCATGTGTCGGGAGCGTCTGCACTAAAAGGGTGAGTATGGAGATGTTGTACCTGTGGTACATACAATACAGGGGACCTGCATGTGTCGGGAGTGTCTGCACTAAAAGGGTGAGTATGGAGATATTGTACCTGTGGTACATACAATACAAGGGACCTGCATGTGTCGGGGAGCGTCTGCACTAAAAGGGTGAGTATGGAGATGTTGTACCTGTGGTACATACAATACAGGGACCTGCATGTGTCGGGAGTGTCTGCACTAAAAGGGTGAGTATGGAGATATTGTACCTGTGGTACATACAATACAGGGACCTGCATGTGTCGGGAGTGTCTGCACTAAAAGGGTGAGTATGGAGATATTGTACCTGTGGTACATACAATACAGGGACCTGCATGTGTCGGGAGTGTCTGCACTAAAAGGGTGAGTATGGAGATATTGTACCTGTGGTACATACAATACAGGGACCTGCATGTGTCGGGAGTGTCTGCACTAAAAGGGTGAGTATGGAGATATTGTACCTGTGGTACATACAATACAGGGACCTGCATGTGTCGGGAGTGTCTGCACTAAAAGGGTGAGTATGGAGATATTGTACCTGTGGTACATACAATACAGGGACCTGCATGTGTATGTGTGTCAGGAGTGTATGGAGATATTGTACCTGTGGTACATACAATACAGGGACGTACATGTGTCAGGAGTGTATAGAGATATTGTACCTGTGGCACATACAATACAGGGACTTACATGTGTCAGGAGTGTATAGAGATATTGTACCTGTGGCACATATAATTAAGCATACAACGTTATAGATAACAACTTCACATATAATTAAGCATACAACTTTATTGATAACAACTTCACATATAATTAAGCATACAACTTTATGGATAACAACTTCACATATAATTAAGCATACAACTTTATGGATAACAACTTCACATATAATTAAGCATACAACTTAATGGATAACAACTTCACATATAATAAAGCATACATCTTTATGGATAACAACTTCACATATAATAAAGCATACAACTTTATGGATAACAACTTCACATATAATAAAGCATACAACTTAATGGATAACAACTTCACATATAATAAAGCATACAACTTTATGGATAACAACTTCACATATAATAAAGCATGCAACTTAATGGATAACAACTTCACATATAATTAAGCATACAACTTTAATGGATAACAACTTCACATATAATAAAGCTTACAACTTTATGGATAACAACTTCACATATAGTTAAGCATACAACTTTATAGATAACAACTTCACACATAATAAAGCATACATCTTTGTAGATAACAACTTCACACATAATAAAGCTTACAACTTTATGGATCACAACTTCACATATAATAAAGCATACATCTTTGTAGATAACAACTTCACATATAATAAAGCTTACAACTTTATGGATAACAACTTCACATATAGTTAAGCATACAACTTTATAGATAACAACTTCACACATAATAAAGCATACATCTTTGTAGATAACAACTTCACATATAATAAAGCTTACATCTTTATGGATAACAACTTCACATATAGTTAAGCATACAACTTTATGGATAACAACTTCACATATAATAAAGCATGCAACTTAATGGATAACAACTTCACATATAATTAAGCATACAACTTAATGGATAACAACTTCACATATAATAAAGCATGCAACTTAATGGATAACAACTTCACATATAATTAAGCATACAACTTAATGGATAACAACTTCACATATAATAAAGCTTACAACTTTATGGATAACAACTTCACATATAGTTAAGCATACAACTTTATAGATAACAACTTCACACATAATAAAGCATACATCTTTGTAGATAACAACTTCACACATAATAAAGCTTACAACTTTATGGATAACAACTTCATATAATAAAGCATACAACTTTGTAGATAACAACTTCACATATAAAGCATACAACTTTATGGATAACAACTTCACATATATATAAGCATACAACTTTATAGATAACAACTTCACACATAATAAAGCATACATCTTTGTAGATAACAACTTCACACATAATCAAGCTTACAACTTTATGGATAACAACTTCACATATAATAAAGCATACATCTTTGTAGATAACAACTTCACACATAATAAAGCTTACAACTTTATGGATAACAACTTCACATATAATAAAGCATACATCTTTGTAGATAACAACTTCACATATAATTAAGCATACAACTTAATGGATAACAACTTCGCATATAATAAAGCATACAACTTAATGGATAACAACTTCACATATAATTAAGCATAACATATAATAAAGCATACAACTTAATGGATAACAACTTCACATATAATTAAGCATACAACTTAATGGATAACAACTTCACATATAATTAAGCATACAACTTAATGGATAACAACTTCACATATAATAAAGCATACAACTTAATGGATAACAACTTCACATATAATAAAGCATACAACTTAATGGATAACAACTTCACATATAATATAGTATACAACTTTATGGATAACAACTTCACATATACTTGGTATATTGCTTCCTGGGTGGTTGTCCAGGTGAGAACAGGTGAAACAGCACCCTATTGCTGGGTGTAACAGGCAACTGAATGGGATCAGTGTGTAAGACTTAGTGACACAGCTGACTGGGTGTCACCATATTTTGGACCTTGCTCACCCACTGGCCCAGGACCTGGTTATTTACTTGCATTATAAACTGGAACATTACTGTGTGTAGCGAGAAACAACAAACAATTGTGAATTAATTGTGTTCAAGTTCTGCTAATATTTTTTATTTCACTAACAATATCCAGTGTGATGTCTGAAACGGGTTGAAAGTGTACATGCTCAGTCTCACATTGTGTCAGCCATACTTTCTGAAGTCAAAACAGGGTTATGTCCCTTGGATCAGGAAATGAAGCACAAGACAGGCCATACATTGTTGAGACCTTTACACTTCCTGTAGATTTAGTCATGTGTATATACTTTTGTTTTGTATAATACATCAGTTTTGAAATAATTCAGTAGTAATAAAATTGTCATTTATAACATCCTTACATGTGGGATAGCTTAATTTATGATTAAATAAATCACATCTTTCTCAATAACAGTCACTTAGACAGTGGTGCATGTTCTGGGTCATCATGGTAGTCACAGCAGAGACAGTGGTGCATGTCCTGGGTCATCATGGTAGTCACGGCAGACAGTGGTGCATATTCTGGGTCATCATGGTAGTCACAGCAGGCAGTGCTGCATGTTCTGGGTCATCATGGTAGTCACAGCAGACAGTGGTGCATGTTCTGGGTCATCATGGTAGTCACGGCAGACACGGTGGTGCATGTTCTGGGTGATCATGGTAGTCACGGCAGACACAGTGCTGCATGTTCTGGGTCATCATGGTAGTCACAGCAGACACAGTGCTGCATGTTCTGGGTCATCATGGTAGTCACAGCAGACACAGTGGTGCATGTTCTTGGTCATCATGGTAGTCACAGCAGACACGGTGGTGCATGTTCTGGGTCATCATGGTAGTCACAGAAGAGACGGTGGTGCATGTTCTGGGTCATCATGGTAGTCACAGCAGACTGGTGCATATTCTGGGTCATCATGGTAGTCACAGCAGACAGTGCTGCATGTTCTGGGTCATCATGGTAGTCACGGCAGACAGTGCTTCATATTCTGGGTCATCATGGTAGTCACAGCAGACAGTGCTGCATGTTCTGGGTCATCATGGTAGTCACAGCAGACACGGTGGTGCATATTCTGGGTCATCATGGTAGTCACAGCAGACAGTGCTGCATGTTCTGGGTGATCATGGTAGTCACAGCAGACACGGTGGTGCATATTCTGGGTCATCATGGTAGTCACAGCAGACAGTGGTGCATGTTCTGGGTCATCATGGTAGTCACGGCAGACACGATGGTGCATGTTCTGGGTCATCATGGTAGTCACAGCAGACACAGTGGTGCATATTCTGGGTCATCATGGTAGTCACGGCAGACACTGCTGCATGTTCTGGGTCATCATGGTAGTCACAGCAGACACTGTGGTGCATGTTCTGGGTCATCATGGTAGTCACAGAAGAGACGGTGGTGCATGTTCTGGGTCATCATGGTAGTCACAGCAGACAGTGCATGTTCTGGGTCATCATGGTAGTCACAGCAGACACGGTGGTGCATGTTCTGGGTCATCATGGTAGTCACAGCAGACATGGTGTTCTGCATGTTCTGGGTCATCATGGTAGTCACAGCAGACAGTGCTGCATGTTCTGGGTCATCATGGTAGTCACAGCAGACACAGTGCTGCATGTTCTGGGTCATCATGGTAGTCACAGCAGACAGTGCTGCATGTTCTGGGTCATCATGGTAGTCACAGCAGACAGGTGCTGCATATTCTGGGTCATCATGGTAGTCACAGCAGACAGTGCTGCATGTTCTGGGTCATCATGGTAGTCACAGCAGACAGTGCTGGTAGTCATAGCAGTCATCATGGTAGTCACAGCACAGTGCTGCATGTTCTGGGTCATCATGGTAGTCACAGCAGACAGTGGTGCATGTTCTGGGTCATCATGGTAGTCACAGCAGACAGTGGTGCATGCATCATGGTTCTGGGTGGGTCATCATGGTAGTCACAGCAGACAGTGGTGCATGTTCTCATGGTAGTCACAGCATGGTATGTCTGGGTCATCATGGTAGTCACAGCAGACAGTGCTGCATGTTCTGGGTCATCATGGTAGTCATGCTGCATGTTCTGGGTCATCATGGTAGTCACAGCAGACACAGTGGTGCATGTTCTGGGTCATCATGGTAGTCACGCAGACAGTGGTGCATGTTCTGGGTCATCATGG